CAGCAGCAGCAGCAGCCGCAGGAGGAGGAGGAGGAGTAGTAGTAGTAGTAACAGCAAAGTGGCAATACTGACAATAGTAATAAATCGCATTCTCTCTCTCTCTCTCTCTCTCTCTTCTCTGCGCGCAACGGTCGCGAGGGCCGTGTTGCGTCCGCCTGTCCAGAAGCCACAATCCGACACCTTCGGTGAAGGAATGCAGACCCGTGGGCCAGTGGGTCCAGAGCGTTCATCGGGAAACTGGCTATCGCCGGTTCGTTAGCAAGAAAAGTGATGGATATGCAATTTGCAGAGAAGCTATACCATCACCATTAGCATCATCATCCTCACCATCATCATCATCATCATCATCATCATCATCATATCGATTTGTGGAGCAGGGGGAGATGTTGAAAAGGACATGGGCTTGAGTGTGGCTGAGGGTTCAAAGGCATGAGCATCTTCCGCAAGACCAGCATAGCAGCGCTGACTCACTACGGAGGGCCTCTTTAGCAAGGGCATTTGAAGCTGCTGCGGAGGGGTGTGACGAAAGCTTTCTGTTGTGGAGATGGGGCATCTGTGCTTCGTGAAACTTGCCGCGACTCTGTGTCACTTCATTCGGGATCAAGCCAACTTTGGAAATGTTCTCTGGTTTCTTTCCAATATGTCGCAGCGCTCAGAATTAGGCTCAGGATCCGCGTCTCAGAGCACTTTCAACGAAGCCACCTCTGCGGCAGACCAAGGTCTTCAAACTTCTGAAAGATGCTGTGCCCCGGACAGAGGGCATGCTGACCCTTGACAGAGCAACGCTCGTGCGAGGTGTTGGCCAGATTTCAGGGATGTGTGATGCAGCAGTTGAGTGCCAGATGTTCCGCTAGCAGACTCTTTGCTTGCTCGGATGCTTGATGCCCCAACAAAACTTCGGAAGCCCCGATGCGATCGAAAGTCATGAGGCGGGTTTAAAGCACACGCCGTCCCCAATCGACTCGGACCGGTTATCTGCATCAAGCTGATCGACGAGGGACACAAACCGGGACTCTTGCATGGTCATCTTTTGCATGGAATGGGCAAGGCTAAGGCAGACAGGCAGACTCCGTTGCTCCCTACCGTATAGATGGGTTGGGTTGAGGCCAGGGCAGTCATGAGGTTGAAACAAGCAGCCAAGGAAGAGGTCCAGCACAGTGTGGCACCTTCTCGACGGGTCTTTCGCCAGAAAGAAGGAAGTCCGTGTTTCAATTTCGCAGATCTGTCTTGTCAGTGTCGGAATCTTATTTGGGCTCCCGGGGTGCTGGTTCACAGCAATCTCCTCGTTCACACATTCCGCGTGCGCTTTTGTTTTACTCTCCGAAGGCCCGAACCTTAGAAACACAACTTGAAGAGAGCTACTGCTACCTGCAACGGAGGCTGATGCAGGCCCTGAGCGACCCCGAGCAGATGCAGAAGCGCATGGAGTACATAGCTTTGTGCCCGGCTCAGGTTGAGTTCACAGACTATGAAATTTGGAGAAGAGCGGATGATTGCAAGATTCAGTACCGAAATGAATCATCCCACATGCAACCTTGTCTGCACGAACTGTGTGAGAGGCGCCACATGAATGCGGACATCACGCCGGCTGATGTGGAGGTCAATTGGACACGGTTGTGATTTCATACAGGAGCAGTGGGCATGCACGACAGTAGATCAGATCTTGAGCCAGCTTAATCAATGCTGCTCACCCTGCTCGCAGGCAACGTGGCAACATGCTGCAGTCATGTTGGCTCCGAGACATGTGCCGAGATTTAGTCACGCACTACTCCATGAGGCTCTTCAACTCGTTACTCTTGGCCTTCATACTTGAGAATCCCGAAGCGACGCTGCGCTGTTTCACATCCCAGACTAGCTCTGCCATAGGTCTTCAAGGGCATCCTCCTGGAAGTTTGTGCGAAGAAGCTGGGTGGGCTGATGACTCCAGAGTTTCAGCCGCTTGAACGACAGCTAATCGATGGGTCGGCTCAGGGGGAGTGTATTTTCATGTAGAGGGAACACCGTGCAGTCTTGTGTGCCGAAGCCAAGTGTGCCAAAGTAACTCGCCAGGACTTCATGTAGAGGCGGGGTCTTCGAAACCTACTTGCCTGCGGCGGACGCCGTAGTCTGATAGGGTTAGTGACCCGCTGCTTCTGAATTCGCCCTCTGTTCTTACCGCGATAGGGCAAGCGACAAAAAGAACAGAGCATGGTGGCAAGCAGGTTCGGCCTTGGCCAGATCGTGACTGCCGTAGGCATCTCATTGGCTAACACGCACGCGCGACTGGGCGTGGTTGGATTTGGGGCTTGATGCAGGTTGATGCTCAATCCTACGAAGGTGTTTCGCTTCAGGCTCATTTCGGATGACCGGGGCGTCCGAGCAGGGGTTTGGGTTCAAGCTCAGGAAGGGCCTCACAAGTAGCCCCTCCGTCTCACAGGCACTATGCGCAGCGACTTCGGCTTCTAACTGGCTGCTGGAAGGAGGCTGCGGCAATTAAGGTTAAGGCTCAAAAGCGAGGGGGGGTCCCTTGTGCACGTCATTCTTCCCGCATTTCTCGGGATTCTATTGTCATTCGACCGAGCAGGTCAATGCTACCGAAGATGATGCGGCAGAGGATCCGCAAAATCGAAGAGCTCGAAGTTTTTGGACTTCTGCCATGCCAGTCTGCCGCCAGCGGCATGAAGCCACAGTGACAAAATGTAGTCGTTTTGGGCACTCAGGGCTTGCATTGCCTTGGTCGAGGAAAGTGGCTGCCTAGGGATCTGCTGTTGATTGGGCCTTTCGCCAGGAGCAAGAGGAGAAACCTCAAGACTCCGATTCGCCGCCGGACGAGGCCTTTGGTGGGAGATCCGTCTTTGCTGAAGTGCACGGGACGTTAGTCGCACGCCTCTCGCCTATTTCCTTTTTGTGCAAGCCGGCAGTCAGCTGTGTCAGCAGCTCCACGCTGTCTTCATGCCTTAAGTTTGCAGAGGCCTCCCCCACCGAGCACGCGGATAAGAAAGATCACGACCTGAGTTCCATGGAGAAGGGCGAGGAGGCCTGAGGTAAGTTGCAGATAAGGGTTGGGACTTGGAGTTGGAGCTCGTTGATACCTGTGCATATCCATGTTCCGAATTCCTGTGTTCATTGCCCCTGTGACTGGTGACAATGGCGATTTTTCGCACAGGTACTGGGTAGGTTTCGCAGGGTCGAAGAGTCACAAGTTGTAACCCGTCGCAACGACTGATGATCTGAAATAGAGAGAGAGAGAGAGAGAGAGAAAGAAAAGTCCTAGCGTCCGTAAGCTTCTCAATGATCAAACCAGCAAGGCATCGCATTTTTTTCGGAGACTGGGGAGTCCACTTGGTATTTGTTCCTGGCCCGGCGAGTACGGGTCATAATATTAATAATAACAATAATGATAATAATAATAATAGTAATAATAGTAATAATAGTAATAATAGTAAATAAGAACTAATAACAATGAATACTCATTATTAATAAGGCATAATAATTAATAATAACTAATAGTGACCCGTCGCCGGCAGTCTTGGACAGGATCGTCACACAAAGTGGAATGACAACGGCAACATGAACATTCCAAAGACCTTTGCAGCGATGGCACGTTCCGTGGTACTTGGATTCTGTCTGTTGGGTTAGCAGTAGGTGCAATTGCGACAGGAGTTGTTCAAGTTGAGTTGCGTGGAGCAGATAGATTGAACTTTGCTTTGCCCAGGTCCGTTGTCTGCGCAACCTGCCCTACAAACTTGAGACCCCAGCAGAAAGCTTTGAGCACTTGCGACTTGTTGTCCGTGACTGGACCATGCACCTTGACCTGCAGCTGCTCCAAACGAGCTGAGAATGAAACTTGCAGAGGACATCAACATGGGTAACGCGCTGAACACTAAGCCAAGCGCCATGCGGTCAAAATTTGCATGCTTGCTCGTTTCAGCCTGTCGGCCAACGCAAAGGCTTGAGTCTAGGAGTAGCTTTGACTCTGCTGGGTTTGGAGTCCAGGTGTTGCTGCTGAGATGGCCTCGTGATGCTGCAATTGTAAGAGGTGTGGCCAACTCGTCGGCCTGTGACTTTACTGTTCTGTGGTATTCGACAGGCTTTCCGAGTGGATGGATCGAACGGAGTCCATCAACAACCCGGCCCAGGTTTCAATGCTTCGGTGATGGGTATTGGTGACCGCAGTTCGGCAGCAACTGGGAAGCTGGCAGTTCGGGATCCCTCTTTGCTGATAGGTCCCAGTGCTGACCTGTGCTGACCTCACAGAAGCATGTGATGGTAGTTCCTCTCGGTTGGCCTTTTTGGGCACCGCTTTGCTGAGTTGCAGCGGGTCTTTCGGGCTGGGCCAAATCGAGGGCCCAGGCTGCACCTGCTCGGAGTGCCGCCGTCAAGCTGGGGGCGACCACCAGCACCAACACCACCGCCGCCACCGCTGCCACCTTTAGTATTATCAGTGGCCGTTCCGTCAAAACATCATGATGTTGATCATGATTATCACTACCATCATCACGAGAATCATCTTTACACGTCCATTTCTCAAGACTCAAGCACCACACACGACAGAAGAAGGGACGAAAATGATCTTGAGGCCGCGGACCACGGCACCCGGAGGAGGAGAGGAGGGGAGAGAAAGAGTGACAGGCCGCAGGGACCGAGGGCTCAAGGTAATGACTAGTAGTACTATGCATGCTGTTACGGCATCCGATAGCTTTGCTTGCTGAGTATTCGTCTCCCTCTCCTGGGCATTCCTTTTGGCTTGTCCATGGTGATCATGTATCAGTATTTCAGTGGAAGACTGGCTGAATGCCCATGTTCCCTGGCCACAAATCCGAATGCCTTACGAAGGAACGCGCCGAAATTGCCTCAAGCAAGCCAACCCCCTCAACCCCAAACCCCTAAACCCTAAACCCCCAAACCCTAAAAAAAGCCTAAACCCCTAAACCCTAGACCCCTGCTTTCAGATTCTCAGAGGCATGTGGTTTGCTGACCTCCTCTACTCCATGGAGTCTTTGGTGCCCCACATTGGCAACGTCGACCGCGTTCAGGAATGCAGTTCAGGGTTTAGGGTTTTGAGGGTTTAGGGGTTTAGGTTTTAGTTGAGGGTTCAGGGTTTAGGGGGTTCGGGGTGCTGAGATGTTGATCAGTTGACATGGACCGATGATGTTTCCTCGTCGAGTTCTTCAGGAGGAATGCGACGTCCTCGCATTGACATTGGCCCACTACGACAAGGTCGGGCTTGCAACAAAAGAAGGCTGATAGCAGGCTGGATTGCAATCATTAGGTTTTCAGCGGGAGAAGGCCGGGCAAGCGGGCAATAGCCTGACTCATGACCCGATATAGGTCCGGTTACCTGGATTGGACCAACACGGCATTACATCTTTACCAAGCAACCCCATCCCGCAGACCCTGAAAGCAGCGAAATGCACATGCTTTGCAGGTGAATCTCGGTGAGTTCCGGTCCGTGATGTTTGCAAGCCTGAGGCTGCTACCTGGGAAGAGGGTAGGGGATCATAGTGGGAGGTTACAGGGCCATCAGGGCCTAGGGCTGCTAGGTAGGAAGAGATTTTCGGCGTCTTGCCGAGCAGGATTCGAGAGGGGTTAAACTCGGTCTTCATCACGGTCCCTTAAAAGGTCGCTCTTGCCGACAGCCTGGAGCCTCGATCACGAGAATGCTTGGTCCTGGTTCTGGACGTGTGTGGAGAAGAAGGCCACTCCGGTTCGAATCAAGAGCGAATCGGGGAAGACTGGACGGACTTTGCCAGAGCACCGCCTGTCACAGACTCGTACTGCGCTCTGCCTCCCTAGCTTGGCGCAGTGCCGCGTCTGTCAGGTGGAACTGATCCGGCAGCTCCCGGTGAAAAATCAGCAGTGCCTGACGCTTCCCTGAAGCAGCATCGAATCAAAGCGTCTTTGAGTCGCTGGGAGCTTTTGGCCATGTGTGCGAACTGAGGAGAACATTTCTCTCTCGAATGGACGAGGTGGGAAAGCATCGCCCCAGCTCCCAGCGTGTCGAACCTGAGACCATAAGTACAAACACGAAGATGATGCGCAAGCCACGTACTTCGCTTCGTTTGGACCGCGAGCCGACAACCATTGGGCAAGCCGGGCTATGCCAAACCCGTCTTCGCTTTGCATCCTGTGCCTGAGAGGATGCCTTGGCCACGTTCAAGCTGAAGGTCTTTGACACCTTTTTCGCAAGTTGCGAGGAGATTCCTAGTGCACGGTTTCAGATCACATCGACATGTCCCGAGCCATCCAATGCGTGTGCCGCTTGGAATCGTCGTGAAGTTCTGGGAAGCTCGAGTCTGGGAAGTCTGAGTGAGGCCTTTTGTTCGTGGCGGAAAGTCACGACTAAGCGACTCCGTTGAGTGTGGTGTTGTGGCGTTTCCAGCCTTCACATCGCAAGCTTATGGAGGAGTCTCAGCTCTACTTGCGTGCCGCCAACAAGCGCCTCCAGTACATTATGGGACGGACCCCCGGACTGAGACTCGAGAATTCGGCGGCTCGGGCCCAGGCTCTGTCCAGTGACGGGGACTGGGAGTGTCACTGCGGTCTTTACAAGGTCGAAGTGCCACAGACCTTGTCGTTGCACGTCTAGAGTCTGCAACAACTCCGGTCATTCTCACTCGGGGCTCTGTTCGGAGTCAATTTTTTTGAGAGGCAAAGACATGGCTGTTCCTCTTGAGTGGACCAGGGCACCCTTTCAGCAGACTCCGGTTTGCTGGCATCGGGAGCTCAAATCTGCTCAAAATAAGGATCTTGACCATCATGTCCGACGTCTACACCAAGACTCACAAGGCCTCTGGAAATCTTGTGGATGTGCGGCATGCCTAGGGCTTCTAGGATTGTATGCTGACTGGCAGCAGCAACTTGGTGGAAGCTTATGCAGCCTGTAGATTCCTGCGGCCATGGTCCTAGGGTGGAGACTTGGGAGTGAAGCGCATGTTGGAGAAGTTTCAATTTCCTGCTTTGCGCATTCTGACGTCTGAAAGGCAGTCATTGCCATCTCTGCCTTGGGCCTTCTGCATGCGGGCCACGGGGTGCCAGAGGAGCGCCTTACTCGCGACGGGTGTGAGGTAAGGCTGGACTGACATGCCTGTTGGGCCAACCCGGGAAGCTCGCGGTGCAGAGCGTCCCTGATCAATGCTTCCGACATTTTCCGCCGGAGCAGGCACCAGCATGATTCCTTGCTGACAGGACTTAGTGCGCCCATTTGTCCAAGCTTTCATGCCGCTCGGCCGCGGCATGTCTTGAGCACAAGTGACGCGGGCTTTGCTGCGGCATGGTAGTCCTGAAGCCTTGTCTCTTTTTACCCTAAGTTTGGCTTTGCAGTCTGCGTGCATATGGACACACATGATAATTTCACAGCGAAGCCGCTCTATCTTCGTGTTGAGGTGCTCCATCAAAGAGGCTGTTCCAGATGAGTCCATCCACGATGGGCTCTGGTGGACACTGGACCTGATCGGAAGGACTGGGATTTCAGTACAGCAGTGCCAAGACGACGACTGTCTGAGTAGAGCTATGCTATGTCCTCAACCCCCCGCTGTGCCCTCAATTTCAACCCTCTCGCAGAATCTTCATTCGGACATTATCAGAGGGCTCCACTCCAGTGATCATCGCCATCAACAAGAACAACACCAAGGACGGAATCCAGGGACACGGACAGCATACAGGATTGAGGAACTGGATTGGATTCCGAACGTCATTTGTCAGGTTGAAGTCAACGGTTGAAGGTTGTATCGACGTGGATGTGACTTGATGACCGTTGTTCTAGTGTATGTTCCATTCCGACAGCTTCTGTTTCTGTGCACCTACAGGTAGCTGCTTCCTTCCAACTAGTGACGAACTGGACTGGCCGTGAGATGTCGGACCATGGCTCGTGAAAGGTGCTGAATACAGCCGTCTCCAGCGCGCCCCGCGGGCAGCGCGAAATCATTCTGTTGCGGGTCCAGGCTGGTTTTGGGGAACTTTAGGCTCCGACCCGGTCCGACCCGACGAGAGCCCTTTTGCGGTCTCTAGCCGCCAGTCGTTGAAGGGCTCTTCCTTTGTAAGAGTGCCGAGGGAAGCTGCCGAGAAGTGTACATTCAATGGCAACGACGGTAAGAGATGGAGGGAGGGGAGACGTCGTCAAGGACGGCTCTCCGCTGGCGGAGGTTAAGGAAATCTCTGCAGCTCCCATGGTCAGATGAAGTCCTTGGTCGCAGGGAGACCTTTGGCAAGAGACGCGCAGGGCTACTAGTAGTTGGGAGTTTCAAAAAAATAAGGGGTACCTTATTTTGGGGTCCTTATAATAAGGATCCTATTATTTAGGGTACTATATTAGGTCCCCTATTTTCGGAAACCCCCAGTTGGAGTTATGAGCTTGTTAGCTAACTTCGGCACGTGGAGGTGGGCACGGAGTCCATGTCGCCGTTGGTCTGGGCCGTGGAGAAGGCTCTGGACTTCGGGATCTCAAGCCTTGCGGAAGCAAGGCTTGCGAGGGTAATTGTCAAAATTATAATAAGGACCCAAAAAGGGACCATAATTTTGACAACCACCCATGTGGTGGAGGTTGGTAAGTTGGAGAAATTTGGATTGGAGTTGTAGGCGATGGAGAGTTCGTGATTCATGGTGCTGTGCAGCCTTTGCTGTTGTCGACGAGAGGAAGACCACGAGTAACAGCGGAGTGCAATTGAAGCCTAGACTTGGAGCGATTCTGGTGTGAACTCACCTCCTCAGCAACATGATTTGTCTCGGGCTGCTTCTCAGGGTGCTCTGGAATCCGCTGGCGCGATTCTCAAGGCGATCGAGCGAGGGAAGAGTGCAGAGATAGAGTACTCGTATCAATCCGAGCATGCAGATGCTTCCTTCATGTTGGTTGACTGCTATATCTCTCCAATCTAGCTGCAAAGCATGTTTGCAACCCCGCAACTCCTTTCAACTCCGTTCCGTCGCTTTCCCCACCTGCCCATCCGAAGTTGGGACTTGCAACAATGCCACCGTGTTTTGTAATGTCCCACTCCCAATCCGCCCAACCCTCCCCTTCATTCAGGACCTGCTCACGATGCGGGCGGATCGCGGACGCTACTACTACGGCATGGCGGCTCAGTCCCAACGGTAGAGCTTGACGGTGCTGAAGCATTCAACATCGTGAACAAGCCTTGAGTGAGTGAGCTTTATAGATCCAGGTTTGCTTTTTTGATCACCCAAACCAATGTGTCTGCTCCTAGGAGGCGATCTTCAGTCGCCATCCAGTAACTCGGCGATGTGTGCGTTAGAATTTAGGAGTGCTCTCCCCTGCTAATGCGAGATGCATGTTGATGTTTAGAGGCATACGTTCTATTGCACGTACTTGTCTCTGCTGCAGTCTTGCTGGGCTTGTTGCTTGCCTAGCAGCTGCCGTTTTGGATTTGCGGCTACCACATGATTGCTCCGCACGTTCCACATTTGGGGGTCAACACTCGGAGTCGGAGCAGCGCAAACTTGAGCTCGCCTGCTCGTGGAGCTTCAGGACATCATTCCCCTGCTTTGCAACAAGGCCCCTGCTTTGCCATGTCTTGTCAGTGAATGCCAGTTTGTTTTTAAGAGGTTTCGGCAGAAGCTGCTTCTCTGGTTCGGCTTGCAGTGTGACGGTGCAGGCCCCATCGCTTCTGGTGACATTGCTGGATGGGCTCATTTGGCGTTCCAAGAACGTGAGACAAGGCCGGGGGCCAAGAGGCCGCAGAGTGAGGGAAGGCCAGGGGTGAGATGGACACGTCACTGGAAGGGAACAAACAGCCTTCGACGGCAAGGCAAGCAAGAACCGGAAAATGATGACAGAGTGACCATGTTCCGATGCCGAGGAGAATCCTCCGAGTTGCATGGTGTCCGCATGTGCTGCGAGGGATGATGAGGGATGAACGAGTCTGGGAGCCTCGTTTTGTTCGCGCTTAAAGCGAAATTTTCTTGAGACCAAGAGAGGAAGACGGGAAACTGCACTGATCAGTGGTTTATCGTTGCATGGGTTCTGTATGGCGCAGGCACCAACGACTCGGGTAACTGTTGAAGCTGCATGTCCCTGAGAGGCATGCGGCGTGTGAACTACTACATCAGCTCCATGCTGGTGGGCGATGAGGGCCAGCTGACGACTTCCCTCTTAGACCTGCTCCCCGTCACGAATCGCCATGCAGGGTGAGGATTCTGCGTTCGAGGGTTGCTAAACTCGGGACCAAAAACATCCGCGAGCAAAGTGTCAATACGATCCTTGGAAATCGGGCAAGTACATGCCAGTTTGTTTTTTGTTGAGGATCGAGAATCTTGGCAAGATCTTGCCGGGGTGGCAAGATACGTTGAAGCACATTGGTAAGGACGGGCAATGAGCACCCTAAACCCTAAACCCTAAACTTTGACATAAACCATGGACGCTAAACCCTAAACCCCAATTGGAGCTCTCTTTCGACGCTTCGGGAAGCTGAGAAGATAGATGCTAAGGATCAAGCATGGGGATCCCGAAATCGTCTGTCATCCTGCCGCCGTCTTCCAGGCGCGTGAGGGTGGACATGCTCCCTGAGGGGTCGTTCCACAGGAGTCCCAAAAGAGTTCTACCATCAAATATACCCCCCTCCAAAAAACAAAGAGAACAACCCATGCCAATTTGTTAAGCCACTGATGGGAGATGTGATTGAAGGCCGACCTGCTTTGGGCTCGGCTTTGTTGCCTTCCGTGGGCCGCAACGAAGGTCTGGTTTTGCGCCCAGCTCTCAGGTGAAGTGCGAGGACTACTCGTAGTTTAGCAACAATTGTCTTCAGAGAGGGCTCCCTGGAAAGGGAAGGGGCACCAAGGGAGCTGGCGTGATTTGACGGTTTCACCTTGCCAGTGGCCATCTTTGGCATGCTTGACGCCTTGTCGTCGTACCCATACGTTTCTGTAGTTGGTAGAACATTGTGATCAGGCCTCGCGTGAGGCGTCACTTCCAGAATCCAGCGCAAACCTTCTTTAGGTGACCCTTGGCATGTTCGTTGTTGCGGAGCAGCATGGCATCATAACGCTTGATGTCCGCAGCCAGCAACGTTATGCTATTATTGCATGCCGAGCCTGCTTGCAGCTGGACTGCAACAAGAACTCTGCCATGGATGTTAATATAGGGGCCTGAATTATTAGAACAGGGTTTCGGGGCCCATTCTACTACAATTATAATAAGGGACCCCCAAAAATGCAATAGGTAATTATTTAGGCCCCTACATTAAGCATATGCAAGTGAGGTTCTTTAGGCTCCGGACTCGGGTCACCCCTGCTTTCGATTCAGGGTCTTACGTCATCTTGCGTGCGTCCTGTCCAAAAGGTGGGGAGTTTAGGGTATATGGGGGCTTCCGAAAACAGGGGACCCTAATATAGTACCCTAAATAGTAGGATCCTTATTATAAGGACCCCAAAATATGGTACCCCTTATTTTCGGAAATTCCCATATAGGGCTTCATAAGGCTCCTAAAACGGTAACTACCCACCTGAAAATATCCTGGACTAAAGGTATTTCTTCAGCCTGGGCCAACTCCTGGTGAAGCACGCGGTCCAGAGCTATCGGGCGCTTCGCGCGAAGTAAGCTCGGCAGTGTTAGTTTCAGCTTTGCAGCTCCTAACATAATATAGTATGCTATATTTTAACATAATATACAATAATCTAATGCCTTCACTGAGTCTGTGTACAGCATCCACATCCCAGCCGCTCAGGCAAACGAGACGCTTCATTTGGCGCTGTCATTTGCCATCCTACTTGCTGCAGACTCTCTGCCTGCAAAAGGAAGAGTCTGTGCTGTTCGACTTGGGACCTGTTGAAATCTCTAAACCCTAAACCCTAAACCCTAAATGGGCCTTGTGGAGTCCGAATCTCGTCTCGAAGTGCCTCGGTCAAGGCCGGATTTCTTTACTTTTCTCTTGGGGAACGGGCTGGGGCCGTCAAAGCCTGTCTACTTGGAGGTTCATGGGTA